CTAGTAGAAACTGGATCATATTGTTCAGTATGATATCTTCTAGCAGTCATGCCTAGTTAAAGGAATTTTACTGATATATATTTTCCATTGCTCAAAATAGTCTTTTCCCAAAAATCTTTTTGCTTCACAATGGTAAAAGGGTATCAGAAGAGCAATGGGAATCCTCGTTGATTGCAGTATCCTTCAACAACTTCTAGAAAAATGCATTCTCAACTATAATCAAAGAGTTGGAGCTTAGCATGAACTAGAGACCATTTGGTCTTATTGCCTAACTGGAATAAAAAAGATATCTTGGTCTTGAACTTTGCCTAACCAGAATGATAGGAGAGAAAGATCTCAGCTTGAACAGATAGCAGCTTTTTCACCACCTTAGAACTTGTTGCTTGTATCTTATTGGTCTCATGGTACTTGATCTATAGGTTAATCCAATTGGAGAAGTGGAGTAGATACAAAGCACTAATCAACTCTTTCAATTACCAATGATGTCATTGAAATACATATGGTGACCAGCAAGAGCTTGTTTACATTTAATTACTAATGTGTTTTGTATTAGTCAATCAAAAGTCTGGTAACCTTGTGCTATCAGAAATTCAGGATCAAATTGAGGTAGGCAAAATCCATCAAGAAAAACTATGAAAAATAGTAAACACTTTAAAAGGAATAGAAAAGCTTGAAAAACTGAATAATAAGCTTTCCTCTGTTCACAAAACCTCTATTTCTATCACTTCAGCTCTTTAAGGTGACACTCTACTTGTTAGTCCTTTTACTTCCTAAAACCTTCTTGCCCTTAGTAGAGGAAGTGTATACTTGGGTCTTTTCAGATCACTAAAGGCTCAAGTTTTTATTCAAAGAAGTTTATAAACAAATAAGAAAAGGTAAAAGAGATACATGAAGACAAGTTTCAAGTTGTTTTAATAAAAGTATAAAGACTTTATTAGCAAGGAAGTATAAAACTTCTTGCAAATATCTTTTTTGTATATAGTCAGAGGATCAGCGAAAAGAGTTTTTTGATTAATAATATAGAACTTAAAAAAATTAAAAATTTTTTTTTTCATAAATAATAAATATAAAATTATATAAATATTTTTTATTAATATATTAATAAAATCAGAAAAATAATACAAAATAAATAATTTTTTAATAAAACAATAATTTAAAATATACAAGTAATTTTGTTAAAAAAATTTTTAGTAAATAATTTCTTATAACTTTAACTTAATTCTATTTGATAATTTTTAAAATATTATTAAAGATAATATTAAAAATATATATTTTAAATAATTTAAATAAATTAAAATAATTTATGTATTAGATTTGCAAAAAACTCTTTTTATTGATTTTTTGATCACATACAAAAAAGATGTTTGCAAAAAGTTTTTACACTTCTTTATTAATAAAATCTTAATAATTTTCTTAAAATAACTTGAAGTATGACTTTAAGAATTGCCTTTATCTTTTTTCTTTTATTTATAAATCTTTTTATTCAAAAACTTGATTTCTAGTGATCAAGAAAAGTCAAGTAACACCTTTGATATCAATAGTAAAAAGTTTTCAAAAAAAGAAAAATTGATTGTAAAATACTTGAAAGTCTATTTAACCTTTGAAGTAAAAGATTTATAAAGGTTTTCTACAATAAAAAAATTTATTTTCTCCTTTTTTAATTATTTTGACTCTCTTAAAGCTTCTATAGTTTTCTGAAAAATTTTATCTACATCAGTTTGATCCTGAATTTTAAGTAGTATAAATCCTTACCAAAGATGATTGGATAACATAAAATATATTAGTCCTTGAAATGTAAACAAGCTCCTATTGATCACAATCATATGTTCAGATAATATTATTGATAATTGAAAAAAAGATTTTGAAAGTATTTGCCCCAAAAGATCAAGTTACTTAATGAAGATTTTCATAACATCAAAAAATTAAGTATTGGATAATGTGAATTGCAAACTTTCATCTCTTACTTAAGTTTCTTAAATGGTACAAAACTTTAATAGAAAAAAGTTGAGATCTAAATACATTCTTTGAGATATCTTAATCTAATACTTACTTAAATGAAAAACCAGTTAAATTGGCTTGTTTGATATTACAAGTGATAAAAAAAAAGATTTTTTCTAAGATTTAAGTGAAGCAAGAAGACTATCTTAATCAGATAGATTTTTTTTGAGAAGAGATTGTTTTATTTTTGGATTTTTTTAATAGGTCTTGAATTGTTTCCTTCCTTCAATCATTTTTCTCTTTCCCTTTTTAATTTAACAATTCATTAGTTTTCAAGTAATTAATAGTAACAAACTGTTGACAATGATTCTGATAGATAAAGGTTATTACCAATTTATCAAGGAAGTGTACACTAGTCAAAAAAAAATTATTCAATATATTGCCACCTATGTAATATTCAGCAAAAATACTATCACTCGTGTAGTATTCAGCAAAAATACTACTACTTGTGTAATATTCAACAAAAAATAAACAATTTAGCAAAAAAATGACATAAATAAATTGACAATACAAAAATTGGCATATTAACAATTTGTCAACTATTCGTCAAAACTATTCATTAAAATTTGTCAAAAATTTGTTAACTATTCGCCTACTATTCATCAAATATTTGTCAACTATATTTAAAACTATTCGTCAAAAATTTGTTAACTATTCGTTAACTATTCGTCAACTATTCATCAACTATTTGTTAATTATTTATCAACTATTTGTCATCTATTTGTCAACTATTTGTCAATTATTTGTTAACTATTTATCAAAACTATTCATTAACAATTCATTAATAATTCATTAAATTATTTATTTAAGATTCATTAACTATTCATTTAAAATTCAACAACTATTCATCAGCAATAAAGTAAAAAAATTGATAAACTTATGCACGAAATTTTTTGAATTGAGGTTATATTTATAAACTATGAATAATACAAACTATAATATAATATATAATATGTTATTTATATTATTATAATTTAATTAATTATGTATTATTATATAAATAATATCAAATAATTTATAAATATAAATGATTTTTTTCACAAGTTTTTAAATTTTTGTTAAATAATATTTGCTAAATTTTTAATGAATAGTTGATGAATTATTAATAAATTAATATCAAATTTTTAATAAATAATTTTATGATGAACTTTTAATGAATTTTTAATAAATAGTATTGAATTTTTGATGAATTGTTAATGAATTTTTTGTTATTAATAAATTTTTGATTGCTAAATTTTTTAATTGTCAAATTTGATTATCAAATTTTTGATTGTCAAATTTTTGATTATCGAATTTTTGATTGTCACTTTATTGCCAAAATATAATATGCCAAATAACAGCAATCGAAAAGAATTCAGCAATATTTTTATTATTAAATTTAATCAAATTTAACAATAATTCAATTGTTAAATGACATAATTTTGACTAGTGATAATATTGTTCCCAAAATCTAACTTAGAGTATTTATATATAAAGATGAATTGGTCATTTTGTGAAAGCCTATAAATTATTGTAGATTTATTTTAATTTCTCAATAAAGATAAGCCATTGTAATATAATTGCAAGTTAAAAATAAATAAATAAATAAAAATAAAAATAAATTGAAATAATTTATATTAAAGAATAACAAAAACTTTCAAGTCTAACTTTAAATAATTTAGTAAATTCTAGAAATAAACATTATAAACTTGTAATTGATAACAAGAAAAAAAAACATTTTTTATTGAAAAAATATTTAATAATAAATAGAAAATTTCCTATTTTTAACTTTTTACAATAAATTTTAATTATTGATAATACTATTATAAATGATTTCTATATTTTTGTTTTTATTTTTATTATTTTTTTTTTTTTTGAGTACCCGTAGCCAGGCTATATTTTTGTTTTTAACTTTCGATATTATATATAAATACTAATAGCTTAATGATTTATAATATATTATTATTATTTTAAAAAAAAAAAATATATATATATATATATATTATTATTATTATATAATAATACTTTGAAAATTTTTTGGCAGTGACAACCTGCTGGCAATGATGCAATGGACTAGGAGGGTCTTTACCCAAAGACACTGCGAAGCAAAATATTGTTTTCAAGGCCAAACTTAGAGACTTTTATGCTTATGACGAGTTAGTTAGATTAGAATAATAGTATGTATCATGCTGCTCAAATGAAAATGTACTTTTGTTTTCAATTGATTAATAAACTGATGATTTAGCCTGGCTACGGAACTCAAAAAAAAAAAAATACTTTGAAAATTTTTATAACGAATAAATATATATGTCAATAAATAAAGTTAAATTAATAATTTATTAGATACAATATACAGTATAATGATAAAATAATTATTCGCGTAGTACAACAGCATATGAAAGTGCGCACAATATTCTATCTATTGTTATCTTAGATTAATTCATCATGTAACCTAATTTCCCTACTAAGGGTTCTAAATATTTAGATAATAGCATCGTTCTCGTAGCGGTCAATCACAATTACACCCTATTGTAACTAATATAAATTTCCGTTTTTTCCATATAGTATATACAGTATCAAGATCTTTATTCATGCAAGATTAAACATTTAAGTCGGGAGTTGCGTCATCGCCGGTTTTATAATTATCCAAAGAGTACAATATTAAATTAAATCTGTGTTCACGATTGGTGTGGTGCGCATAGTCATAAATTCTATGTCACTACCGTTTTTCTAGAATTCACGGGATTTTGTTGGAAAACGAATCGACAAAGAATCATACGTTGTGCACTCGTATCTAATGTGACTGACTAATCATATTATCGAAACTTTATCTTCCAAAAAATGTCATTTGTTTATTAAATGATATATGCGTGTGAACACTTAATATAATGCAAAGTTTTTTTATTACACAAATCATACAATTGGTTCATCTATATAATTTTCGAATTTTTTTCGGCACCTTTCGCTCATTTTCTAACCGCACATTCCCTTTCCAGCACACTTCCTTCTTCCAGCGACGTATTATGGGTGACGAGTCCGAATACTTTGATGACTTTAATCAACCTTTTGGAAGCAAGGCACAAAATGAAATAGAAGGTTGCATGCCTATTGCAGCGACCCAGATTAGTAACCTGACATCTGAGCCTTTTCCAAATCTTCCCACCGCCTCTGGAAACCAAAAGGAAACCCAGAAAGACGAACAAACATTCATTCAACAGTCTTCGTATAACGTAAATAACATTCCTTCATCAGTTGATCCATTGTTTAACTTCGGCGAAGCAATCGGAGATAGCCATTCAAGTGGTGTTGCGAGCTCTTCAACTTCACTATCTCTTCCCTTTTCTCAAACGCCAGGTATTTTTAATTTCACGTAGGAGCTTACATCAACACTACATGGCGTAGGCACCTCATTGTAGAAAAAAAATAATTTTTTTTTCAGCAAACCTTTTTCCTGGCATGTATTCAAGTACAGGATTTGATATGCTTTGGGTTCTGGTATGTTTTAAGAGATTCATGCATCATATGATGAATGTTCCACGTATTAATGCAGTGAATGCTTGAGGCATTTCATTCTACACTCTGTGGCTGATACTTCGGGTCTTTTGTGCGAGGCCACAAGGGTTTTCATTTAATTAATATTAATTATTTGTTTTTATGATCAAAATAACTTCTTTTTTTTTTTTCCTTAGTCTCGCGTCGCTGCAAGGTGAATTACGTATCTCAATTTAATATAAAGTAGTTTATCAAAAAAATCTTACCGATATACTGTATATTACACAAACAGGCGAAATCCACAGATCGTCATTGGTCCTGTCGACATGAGTTGTTCATTTTTAGTTGGTATGTTGCACGAATTCTCGGTTTCCGTCATACAAGATTTCGATAATTTCCTTTTCTGGATTGTTTGTTTTTTAAAAAAACTATAGTGGATGCTCGTAAATTCGATTTCCCAATTGTTTATGCCAGTGAAACTTTCGAAAAGTTAACCGGGTATTCTAATTCTGAAATACTTGGCCACAATTGCCGGTTCTTACAAGCACCCGATGGTCATGTCGCACTTGGTTCACGGCGTCGTTTTACCGACAGTAATTCTGTATATCATATTAAAAGTCACATTATGGACGGCAAAGAGTGCCAAAGAGCTATAATAAACTATAGAAAGGGTGGACAGGTAGGTTTGTCCTTTTTTTTTTTTTTTGTCTTTTGTCGACAAATTGATCTCAATGTTAACCTTTATTTAGCCATTTATCAATTTGGTCACAGTCATACCTATAACTCAAAGCGACGATAAAGATGAGATTATTTATTTTGTTGGCCTGCAAGTGGTATGTGAATCTATTAAGTGACTGGAATTTTCAGGAAGATGCACGCACGCGTGCATGGATCCTTTAATGAATTTTTTAACCAACGGCCTTCACATTATTTAATTGTGAAGGACTTGGTCGATCAACCGAATGCTATTTCAGAAAAGATGAAGAACGGAACATACGTTGTCGACTACTCATTACTGAATATGCCGGCATACATTCCTCCATCTGTCGAAAACATTGGAGATCCAAACGTTGATTATTTTTATGATGTTTCAAGTTCCATGCCATTTTCCGCTTCTTCGGAGATTTTTGATTTGATCGGTGGTAGCACAGACGCCGAAACCGTCAAACGATCATGGAACCGCATGTTGTTGGAGCATTCAGTTGATTTTGTTCACGTTCTCTCCTTAAAAGGCCTGTTTCTTTATTGCTCGGTCAGTTGTAGAAGAATATTAGAGTATGATCCAGATGAACTTGTAGGGAGAAATTTGTCAACATTTTGTCATCCAAGCGATATCGTCTATGTCATGCGAGAATTGAAGGAATCTTCAAGCGGTGCGGAGGATGTGACTCTCGCGTATCGCATAAGACGCAAGAATTCAGGTTATATGTGGATTGAAGCACATGGAAAATTGCATTCAGAAAAAGGGAAGGGACGAAAATGTGTCATTCTTTCGGCACGCGAACGACCAGTATATAAACTTCAACAGAAATATTTGCAAATTTCTGATGACACTCACAAGTATGAATTCTGGTCGAAATTATCAGCCGACGGTCTTTTTCTTTACGTCTCTTCAGTTTGTCAAAATTTATTAGGATTGTCTGCGGAAGAATTAGTCGGAGTTTCATTGTATAATCATGTTAAACCTGAGCACGCAACCGATATCTCAAGAGCATTAGTCCAAGCAAATAATGGGATACCTAACAGTCTTAACCGCCAGATTCAAAAAAAGAATGGACAATACATAGAAGTCCTCTTAACATTTTATCCTGGTGATTCCGGTCAAACAAACAACAAACCTTCATTTATAATCTGCCAGATAAAAGAGGCAATACCGGAACTTGGCAAACGTCAGTCTTTATTATCTTCCCAGCCTTTTTTGACGTCTGCGAGTTCGTCTGATTCAGTCGAGACTGGTGAACGAGCCAACGAAAACATTTTTGAAGAATTGAGCACAACTAAAGGTACCAGTTGGCAATACGAATTACATCAAATGAGATCGGCGAACAAAAAACTACGCGCAGAATTGGAAGCCGTCAAAAATTCAAAGAAGAAAAGGGTAGGGTACTTTACTTTTTGAATGTTTCTTCGCCTTATTATGGGTGATTTATTTTGCTGACTCACGGTTTATGGACATTAGAAGAAGCGCATTGTATCGTCTTCAAACAAGGTATGTGACCATTGTCAATGTAAAGCCTCACCCGAATGGCGAAAAGGGCCAAACGGTCCGAAAACGCTATGCAATGCATGTGGTTTACGTACGTACACGCGCCAATTTGTTGTCAGTAACATGTTTTCGGAAAGCAAGGAAAAAATACCCACAAGATGAATAAAAAAAAAAACCACATGAACCGGAATTATCTATCAACTCATTTTTTTTTTCTATTTAAACACACATACAGGTTATGCAAAACAAATGACAGCACCTGCGTTGTCAACATGAGAACCGAGCGAGATGCGAAATGAATATTGGGTATCAAACATTATTTATTGCAAGTATTTATACATTCATTATCTTAGGAGTTTTTAAAATTAGAATTTGTAATCGGTTCGATTCGAATTTCTCTTGGAATTCATTATATATAGGATAATAAATTTTCATTTTTTTTTTTTATCATTATCTGTGCCACAAGCTTCTGCAATGCAAAGAGTGATTAATCTCATTGTTATCTTGTTGAGACAAAAATTAGTATATATTTGCGTAAGAGAGAAATAAAGAGTACTTTATCGCACTCATTATTTTAAGTAAACTAAATATTGCTTTGAGCAAAAATACTAACTACAATCGTGGGAAGCAAAGATCATGCTTTAAAAAGTGTCAATTTTAGATTTGGAAAAAGACCTTAATTGTAAATTGCCATGTTTAACACGTGATTATAAAGGAAAGTAAAAAGGTTAAAGCATTTTTTTTATAAATGTGGAAGAACTCTTGGTCTGTAAAGATATGAGTAGAAGGGTCGTGGCGACAGAATTGTTGTCAATGTTAATAATGTTCGCAAATTGCGTGTACTTTATCGCTACCTTAATTAGGAAGGTTCTGAACTTGGCACAAAGATTCATGAGCATATATACTATCATGTGACCAACTATTCCAAGATGAAAAAGAGCATTCACTCTATCAGATTATGTCAATGATAAAAAAATTAGTGAGAATACGTTTTCTTTATTTGAAACAATTTTTACGAAAAAAAAAAAAGAAAATTAAATTAAGCAATCTCCATTTTTGTCCAAGACTTTTTCTAACACTTGTGTTTTCCTTTCTGGTTTCCTTCTCGAAAAATGGGTATAAATAATAAAGCAGGTAAAGTTGAGTGAGTGCAATTACAAAAACCATCTTAGAAACTACCACTTTTATTTGTCCACCTGCAGAAATAGTGTCTACACTCACCACCCAAAGTGCAGGGGTACTTCTAACAGTTGCTGGCGAACTTTCAGATAATAATAATTTAAGAGGACTTGGAGAGATACATGATTTAGCAAGAGCTATTGGCGGAATAGGCGGTAGCATACAAGGGACGGTTTCTGGAAAAGAATAGTAATCCGTTGTAGGCATTATTCTCCTAAAAACAAATGATCTTTATGAAATTCTTATTTGTGAAAAAAAATTTTTTTTTTTTTTTTTTTTTATATATTTTTTGATGCAGTATATTCGATGCAGAAGTTGATATCTTTTAAGAATTATATAGAAATATTATTACAAAAATCGAGTTTATAAAATTTTTAATTTGTTGATTAGTTAATATGTGATAATCAAGTTAAAATTACTTATAGTTAAAGGATTTGTTGAAATATTTGGATGAATATTCAAAATCAATTCAAGTGTTCCAGCTAACTTGTAAATGATATCATGATGATCCATATTTCTATGACTTGATACCACCAGAAGACTTGTCAAATTGGGTATACAGTTTGAAAGAAATTTTGAAATGTGAACAAGAAAAAGATATAAGAAAAGGTAAAAAATCAATAGTTAAATTCAAAAATGAAAAATTATTGAATATGAGAAATCATTAATATATTCAGAGGATAAGAAACAAACTAAAGAAAGTACATGAATGAGTAAAATTCAGGGGCAGCTAGGTTAAAAGAAAAA